CAAATTTTGTTTGAATTACCAGAAGTTTGAAATATCAGAAATTCATCTAAATATGTCGTACGATAAAATTATGATTTTTTATATGAATGGCTGCACATACGAGGCAGCCATTCATATGTGTGTGGCAATAATTGATGATTTCCTCTACGTGGGCTTACTGATCATGTGCAGGTAGGACACACAAGAAACATTTGTGATATGTGTGACATAAGTTTATTTAGCCTTGAAAGATGTTGTTTATCATGGACTGTTTAGACAGCACATGACTATTCAAAACATTTGCTCATCAGGCCAAGAAGTTGTTTAATCTGAACAGGGGGCACATGAGCAATGAAAACGGGCACTGCACGGTAGTTCCACAGATGCTTGCGCAGACGCTGTGACGTGGACCCGCCCCGTCACAGCGTGCGCGCAAGTTGCTATGTAAATTTTTGCGTGGTGCCAGTTTTCATGACTTGTGTGTGTTCGCTTGATCAACGTTGAGTGCGCTTTTCACCGAGCATTGGTGCACTGCGGAGAAGCAACACCCGCGGAAGCAAGCTCCGCTGGTGTTGCTTCTCTGCGGCGCATCGGTGCTCGGAAAGAAGCGCGCTCAACGTTGTCGCGAGGACAAAAATATTAATCGCACGAAAACGTCGTTCGAATTAAGCGACTTATGAATACATTAAAAACATAGCGGGACAAGCAAAATTTTAAGATTTGTTTGAATTAACCAGATGTACGAAATATCCGAGTTTGAATTATCGCGAGCCTACTGTACGGTCAAACGCCTTTATAATGAAGTCTGCTGGACTGGCGAAATCTTTCGTAGTACAGATAACTTTGTTGTAGTAGCTGAGTGCAAAAAATTAATCAGACAAAGCCGAATTTTCGTTATTGCATATTGACGTATCTGCGCGACATTCTAGGTGTTTGAGGCAACATTCTAGGTGTTTGGCGCCAAATACAGCATGAGCGACGTCAGAAACGAGGATTTGTACATTGACAATTGACTTATCAAAAAGCAAAACAATGGCCGAGTCTGCTAGCGCATCGTAGGGAGGAGGACAAGGGCGAAAGCTCACGCTACAGAATCTAGGCATCTTAACCTCAATTACCACTTCCTTTGTTTTCTAAATTGAAATCATATTGGCGCAGGTTTATGTACTCCCCACTGCGTGACACAATTTGGAGACACCAGGCTAGCGGTCATACCGCCAGCGCCGCCACTGGCAAAGTTTGTCATGTACAGCAGAGACGCCAAGTGCTCCTTGCTGCAGGCTAATTTCTTGCTGTCCAAACTTCCAGATAATAAACTTACCTGACTTCTCAAAATATGAATCGCAATATTTGCTAAACCCCCGACACCTTCCTCCTATAACGCAGCGAATGAGAGGCGTTGGCCGACTGTAAGTTTAGCCTCTTCTAAATCGGGCGGCGGCTTGCACCATTACATGTCATTCGTAGGAGGCTCTCGAAGCATCTGTGCTGTTCTCAATTGCGTGTATAGTCACTAGACGGCGTAGGAGCGGGTGTGGCAGTACAGCAGGATCGGCCACACACTTGGCACGTGACAGCTGCAACGTGCGGTGCAGCGAGGAGCGAGGATGAGGAGAGGTGCGCAGTCGAGCTGACCGAGCCCTTTTTCACATCTGTCCGGCACAAAGGGGGGGGCGCATTTATTTCTGTGCGGCTCTGCTGATTTCACTAAGATTTTGGCACCACGGGTAAAGTCACAGATCACGTTTTCTCGACCGCAAATTATTGTTCCAAGGTGGAACAATTTGGGACTCGGATCAAGGAGGATTGGCAATCTTGGTGGATCCCAACGAAGATTGGCATGTTGATCGAACGAACGCCGAGACAGCATAAAAAAGTTGCGACTGCCCATGAAATAATTTCTTTTATATACTATTGCTCGCGTGGGTCCTCCGACACGCTCGAAACACCGTACCGAAAGCATTGACCGCCTGCAAACGTCTCCGCCTTTCTACCTGCTTTCCTTCTCGCCATGCGAAAATGCAAGGCATGCACATTTACGACCAATCTCCGGAGGAGGTGTCCGCCATTAAATTGAAAATGCTCCCCATGGTCTGAGATGGACCCTCTTCTCAACCTTTCTACTCGGCAACCTAGTCACGTAGTCCCATCTCGCAACAAAGTTGCACGCTAATGAATTATTCAAACCCAAAACCGAGGATGCGTGGCACAGCGGTGCTGCGCGTTCTGTCCTTGCTGCCGCAGTATTTCTGTTCTCTACACGCTTCACTCGAGAGCAACAATTTACGTCAAATCGATTACTTTTCACCTAGAAAACTCATAATGCCGGTTATTTTTGTTTCGTGGGGCCTTGCAATTGCTTCGTTAAACAGAAATGTTTGTTAAACAGGAATTCGTTGTCATCAGACAAACACATTGAACAGATAGGACAGGGGTGGCCAGGCTGACCCGGCCTAAGAGCCGCAAACAAAAGCACGAAACTTTCAAGAGCTGCGGGGGGGGGAGTGCACTTTTGTCCAGAGCAATAAACGAAACTCGAACTACTTTCAAGTTTCAACCTATCCAAGTCAAAAGCAGTCCAACTGTGCGTAAGGTAGCAGTAGGACAAGACTACAAAACCGCAACCTGTCTTTCGATTTAAAACGCATTCCATTTCTCTTTTTGGGGAAGTGCTTGTGTGACCGGGAAGGAGGCAGGGGAGGGGGGGGGGGGTGGGGGGGGGGGGGAGGGAGCCGCGAGCCGCACTTAACACGCGAAAAGCTTCATGTGGCTCGCGAGCCGCAGCTTGGCCACCCCTGACTTAAGAGATTGGCCAGGACTTGATTTTACTTAGTTAAACGGGCATTTTTCTAGTAAAAGCATTCGTTGTAAATAAAGTTCCAGGTTTTCAGTGTTTCTTTTTTTCTCAAATTCGTTTGTTTTTCTTTTAGGGTTTATTTTCTCTTACAGAGTTTGTTTTTTGTGTAAATTGGTTATAACTTGTGTACTTCATAAGGTACTAGCCATTCAAGGGAAGCCGAGCTTGAATATATCCAGCCAAATATGAGGAAAATTTAATGCACTCCAGCACATAGCAAAGACAATTCCAAAACTTGTTGACCAAAAATTAAAATCACTGGCAAGACTAAACGACTGCATCTAGCAGTGTGAACAATGTGAAACAAATAAAATTAGGCATAACGACTGAAATGCCACTGCACTCAAGCATGAAAACGCGGGCAAACTAATGCATAGTATTACTACTATCTGTGCGACATGACGTGAGTCAGCATGTTGGTTTGTCAGCAATGATTTAAATGCACAACTTGTACTTGCACCAGTGCGACTGCCTAATGCATTTCCACCCTCATTTCCCGCAATGGGTCTCCGAATAAAATCAGTCTCCACGCTTGCAGCGGACTAACCAGCAGGCAAGTTCCCTCCGCAGCATTTTTAAGCTGACGGTTTGCACGTTCTGGCTCCCTTGTGAGCCTCATTGTCCGAGTCATCTTGGGACTGTTGCCCGGTCGAGCGACCTTACCGCCCTTGCAGCCGCTCGTCTCAGTCTGGTTTGGGAGTGACTTCCTGCAGGGCGTCAACATTAGCCACTCAATAAATGTGCATTTACGCTTGCGACTCGCAGCAGTTGCCTTTAATTTAGCTGTTCAATGGCTTGTACAGTGGCTTGGGCTAACCTAAATCTCTATATGGCCAGCAAGTTTTCCAGAATGCATTTTTGGCCTGTCGAAATGCAAGTAAGGGGAAAGGGGGGGGGGGCATTAGTCAAAGGGTATATAATGTGTCGGGAATGCGAGATGATTTGGATGGATGAACAAACACACAAAATGCTCAAAAAACAAATGAACTATAAACTCGCACGCCTTATGGGTTCAATCCCCACCCCTGCCTGTTTCAATCTGGATTGGCATCGTACCGACCTGCAATCGTGTATCACTACTGCGTGGTGCACGTTAAAGACCCCAGGCTAGTGGTTGTACTGCACTGGCTAAATTGCTCATCTACAGTGAGACACCAGATGCCCGTTGTGGCTAACTAACTACAGGCTGTATAAACATAAAACACATTTTGTTTTGTTGCACACCATACTTTTATTGCTATTTAAATCTGGCATGAGTACACTATGCAGACTGGAAGCAAACAACTGCAAAAACAGAACACCAATAGGGCCTCAGCATCGGAAGCACTTACTGAAAGCATTGAAAACCTTTCTGCCTCACAAAATGGTGCTTGAAAGTGCGTGTTATGTGCTACACTTTAGAGAGCTTGGAAATCATCTCCAGTCGGCTTTCCGTGGGTGATGCAGGGCTGCACAGCATCTTACCCAGTTAGTGGAGTAAGATTATAGGAAATGAAACATCTTATTGTGACACATCAAGGTAGTATACATTATTTTTGGAAGTTCAAAACACTGGCTAGGAAGCAGAAGTTCAAAACAATGGCTAGGAACCAGAATTTGAAGGAAGGGTTCAGCTGCTTTCGAATCAATCATCCACGGTAGCTTCCCCCCCCCCCCCCCCCCCCCCCCCCCCCCTGTTCTGTAGGTTCATCACAATGTCACTAAGTTCTTGCGCAAGAAGGCTGAGTGAGCCCTTGATGCGTGATGCAGCGAAGCCGAGCATGTCGAGCACAGACCAGGCCGGTTCTTCTCGGAAATAATGGCCTGTGCCAAAACGTGTCACAAAAAAAAAAAAAAAAGCTTTTTTTTTTTCTTTTGCATTTTGTTTTTTATTATTTTTGTAAGAAAATTCCTCGTTGTTTTTTTTTAATATGTTTGTTATATGTGTACAGCCGCTTGGAATTTGTTCATCAAAATTGGGCTAAAATTGCACTGAAGGAGCATGGAATAAATGTCTGTTTTAACCAATATTTAGATATTCCCAAGTTATTTATAACTAGGTTCGGCTATACAATATTAGAGACTCTAAAATGAGATGATCCATTGGGATTTTATTCTATCATTGAAATCCCACTTTACTGAAAGCATGAAATTAAGTCCAAACACGCATTGAATTTCATTTCAGGCACACAGCCTGAAGGCGAATGTTCCAGCAAGTGCGAGGCCAGTGTTCCTTCCTGCTGTAAGTTCCTACCATTACTGATATCTTTATAGTAATAAGGTAGGACTTGCAGTGTGCAGTGGTTTCGTACGCGAGTCACACGGGGACTTCTGCTTCACCATAGGGGTTAGAAGTTTCACCTTCCTAGGCCATCGCTCAGGCGGAATTTATTACGGTGATAGCGCTTATGGGCACTTGCCCTCAATCAAAATTATGTAGAGTGTGAGTCGTCGATATCGCCGAACGCTCGAAAAAGAAAGGCCGCCGCAGTATTCTCAAGATTTGATCCCGGGCCAGCTGGTTGTGATGCAAGCACATTTCCACAGAGCTGCGCCAGCTGCTTCAACGTGCCGCTTCGTAAACTGTGCGTTGAGGATACTTACGCGTACCAGTGATGTTCCATTCCATGTCTAAGAATTGCCTTTTTTTAATACAAAAATTCCCTATTTGAGGTAGATCCTTTTTTCCTGCCAAATTGTCAAATATCCCTGCATACTTCCCTGCGCTATTTTACCTTTATTTTCGCAGCAGCTGATTTCTGTGGTCGTGCAGGCAACCTTGCATACTTTTTCCTACGAAAACTGCGTGAAATCGCATGTTCAAAAAAAAAAGAAAATGTTACTGGTCAGCGTATATATCTATTAACTAAATTATACAACCTTTAGTAGTTGCCATTTCGCTGCACCTAGGAGATGTTCTGACACCTCTCCTTCCTGCACTGTGACTTTCTCACTTTGTTTTCTTGAAACTTTTGGACCACAAGGCGGTCTTTTTTAATATTTATTTATCTCTGAACTTTTTCTCGAATTCCCTCGTTTATCCTTAAAATTTCCTGCAGTCACATTGAAATTCCCTTTTTCACCAAAATTGAGACCGAAACTTTCCTGAAAAAGGGAAAATTATGTTTTCAGGGATTTTATTTTTTTCTTTTTGGGGACTGTACTGTGGATTCACACAGGACTGCTCATATTGAATGCAGAATGTTTTGTAGGTCGCTTACTATGAAAAAATTGCAACGAACGAGCGTGGTGAACGAGTGGCACGCTGGGAGCGTTAGACGCCAAGGTGATATACAGGGTGTGTCAGAAAACGCAGCCCAAATCGCTCCTGCGAAAACCAAGCATCGCACAGAAAAAAAGGTTGATGCCGTTTTGGTGTCTGTCCAATAGCGCATTTAGAAAAAATAATAATGTTAACAAAAAATCGTTTTTTTTAGTTTTTTTAGAAAGTAACTTTTTATTTGTTCATTTGAAGGCCATAGTTTCAATTAGAAACTTACTGGGCATCATCAATAACCCCTGTAGCAACCCTTTTTAGACAAGTATAAAGCATGCCGAGCATTTTACGTTTTGAAAAACGCTTTAATTCTGACGCATACTCCGGTTTCGGATTCGTATCCAAGGGCATCTTGGCGACAGCTGTCCTGCCCTCCGACATATGAAGCGCGGAACCAAAGCCAGCCCAAAAGTCGAAGCTCAATCTTGCAATGTCATGCTCTTTTGAACAGCGAGGCGTTCCTTGTCGTTTGGCCACGCGCGCGCGCTACAAACGCTTTGTTTTTTACGAGAGAGCGAGAGAGGGAAGAGAGGCAAGCGGGCCAGACTATTAGCCCTGAGAAGTTCACATGGCGCCCCCTTACGGCGAACCGGGGTGACGTCACGGCGAGGAGAGAATTTTTCCCCGACTTGGCCCGCTCGCCCTGTGGAGGCTGTGACGACGCTAGCTGACGGCGCGCTCGTTTCTATTTAATTTTTTTTGGCGTGTTTTTCGTAGGAAGTGTAAATTTTTATATGAGCCTTTATTGAGGTATGGCCTGTAGCTACAGGCGAAACTTCAACGAACATTTTAAGCATGGTTGACAGGGCAGGCAACGCATGAATCACAGCTGGTATATGAAAATAAAGAAATATGGCCACAATTGCAGGAGAATCACTGTAGATTTACATTTTGCACAATAAATGCTGCTGATGGTCTGAATGAATTGGCAGGTTATGTATATTAATTTTTTTTTGTACCTGTTCTTAAACAAGATCGCCGAAGCAGAAAAGCTGCATGGTGCTCAAGCAACATGTTAAATACAGTCTGGGCCATGAAGAGAGAATTACAAGTAAGACAGCCCAAGTGCAGGGGCAAAGTAAAAAAAAAAAAAAAAAAAAGAACATTTATTATATACATTGCTTGCATTTGACCTTTGCTGGATTCGGATAGAATGTCAATGGACTACACGGGTGGTATCTGTGGACTTGTTTATATCAACCCTCAAGTAATGTATAACAAACGTAAGCGAAGGTGTCTAGCTCGTTATTAGCCCCTTAAGCCCTAAAATTGAAATTTTACTTAAATCAAATTGTCCTGAAGCTAAAATACCATCTTTTCTCCCGCAGACTGTCCCCCTTTACAGGCTCCACATTTTCTGCTGCTAGATGCTGCATCTACCACTGGACGTTCGAATGCTTGCTTTTACTCCTGTTTTCCTCTGTTGTCAGAGAGTCCAGCTGTAGGGAGTTTGGAGGCTGAGGAAGCTTTTGGGGACCTGCAGCAGTGTCCCTTTTAATTGGAAATGACAATTCAGACTAAACGGTGTATTTTCGGAATGCCCAAGGCTGGAATAAAAAATGTCAGGAAAAAGTATAAACATTGCATATTACGGCACTATCGCCGTGCATAGTTTGGCAGTTCAATACATATCATACAGACAACTGGGGGCAAGAATGATGAAAATAATCCCTGGAGAAGGGGAATAAGAGGGACAAAAGACAAACACAAATCTCCAAACACAGCTAGGTGACTGGTGAGCGACCGAAAAATCCGCCTGGTCCGGGTATCGAACCCGGGACCTCTCCATTACAGGTGGAGCGCTCTACCAATTGAGCTAACCAGGGGTTAGACGTCAGTAGAGCAAACGGGTTTTATCAGCCGCCACCAGTCTAACTCCAACAAGGGTGAAGCGGACCAGGCGGATTTTTCGGTCGCTCACCAGTCACCTAGCTGTGTTTGGAGATTTGTGTTTGTCCTTTGTCCCTCTCATTCCCCTTCTCTAGGGATTATTTTCATCATTCTTGTCCAGCTCGCTTGCACCTTTGCATTTAATTGCATTATAATAATAAACTGGGGGCGATTCGGCCGTTTTTGCTGCTACCATACAAACTAATTTCCAGTAATTGTGCAGCTTCTAAGAAATATGCCTGCATGCGTGTGTAAACTATATAACTAATTACTAATTCACAAAGAAGCTACATTTATTGAAAACAACCCTATTCCACGAGCACTTTCAAGATTATCAGACGCAGGGCCTTTAAAACATCTGCGAACCAGCGCATGCAGAGTGGCAGCGCAGAGTCAGAGTCGCGAGCTAATTTGCCGACCACCCAAAGGCCCATGATATAAATGCCACTTCAAATGCCTTGAAAGCGAGATGTAATATCGTCTTAAATCATAAACGTGCAAGGAACAGAATTCCAGCGTCTGAAACACTCGCGCCACCGCTTCACCGATCCCTCGCAAGATTGCCTTGTTTCGTGTGGACGGACGGGGAGGTTCATCGGCGGAATTGCCTCCGCCGATAGCTTTCGGGATTTTTAACCCAATTTTAAAGTTAAAAGGGACAAGCAGGCTTATAAAATGTACGGAAGCACGTCAATATCGGCCTAACTCAACGTCTTGCACACCGGGTAAACGAAGCCCAGCTCCTCGAAGAGCTTGCGCCACACAACGCCAAACCAGGAAACCGGTGCTGGGAAGCGAGCCGATGCGAGATCGCGGAGCGGAGTACTCCCCCTGACGTCACGGTACACCTCACCCAATCCGGGCGCGGCGACCGCAGCGACGCTTGTGTTCGCTCTCGTGGCTAATACTTCGTTTCACCTTATTTCACCTTATGTCCGAGCGGACGATGTTATGAGCCGAAGGGCCAATCAAACAGCGCAAAAAGCGCACCGTCATGGCGTGCTCTCTGCGCTTGATAGGACTAGCCATTGGAGAAGCACGCACAGAGAGACGGCGAATACCGGCTAGTCCTTTCAACTGCACAGAGCACGCCATGACGTTTGCCTCTTTCGCTGTTTGATTGGCCCTTTGGTTCATAACATCGGCCGTGCTCGGACCTAAGCTGAAACGAAGTGTAGCGAATTGTCTGGCCTTGGCTCCGCGCTTCAGGCAGGACAGTTGCCGCCAAGATGCGTTTAGATAAGAATCCGAAACCAGAGTACGCGTCAGAATTGAAGGGTTTTTCAAAACACGGTAAAACGCTCTGCATGCTTTATAGTTGTCTTAGAGGGTTGATATAGGGGTTATTGATGATGCCCAGTAAGTTCCTAATTGAAACTATGGCCTTAAAATGAACAAATAAAAAGTTCCTTTCTAAAAAACAAAACAAAAACTACCGTATTTTTTTTCAAACATTATTATTTTCCCTAAATAGGCTCTTGGGCAGACACCAACACGGTATCAGCCTTTTTGCTGTGCGATGCTTAGTTTTCGTAGGAGCGATTTGGCCTGAGTTCTCTGAAACACCCTGTATAAAGAATATATAATTAGAACGGTACTGCTGTCAGGTCTTCACTTCCTTTTAACGTTTTATTCTATATCTGGTGTTCTTCGTTCCAAATAAACCTAAACTTCGCTCAATATGTCCTTTGTAGCCTTTGCGCCATTAAGGGCGGACACTACCTGGGAATGTAAGCTTTTTAGCCGCTCATTCAATTGGCGTAATATTTGCAGGTGGTGTTTGTAGCCATATAGAAGGCAGGCTACAAAGTTTCAGCCCTGTGAGCACCCCAGAACAAAGTAAAACGTAGCTTTGCAACGAATCTGTTCCATTAATCTATCACTGAGAAATTGTGTTGATAACCACATAATTTTCTGGTGGAATCATACTGATATACCTCTTGCCAATTGCTATAAAAAATTTGAAAAACGCACTTTTGAAAAAAAAATTGAAAAATGTTTTTTTTTACATTTATTAAGTTTTTAAGTTACAATTTTTCATAATAAAGGAACATGAAAATGCAAAATCTTAGTTCATAGTAACCGGCTCCATAAAAGTTGGGTATGGGACTTGAGATCGACCTAGTGGTGGCACTACTATTGCGCTATCATTATCATTAAAGCGGGGATCATGGCCGCCCCAAAGGTTCTCCATGTTCGCACGCGAGACGGTGTAGATTCTTGCGTTTATTTTGTTGCACAGTATTGGCGGGAAAACAATTTTAGGGGAAAATAGTGCGGTGCCGTTTGGTGCATCAGTGAAGATTGAATCGTGTTACCAGCATGCGGCCCAAATTTAAATAATGGCTTGTGTGGATGTGTTGTCTGCTCTAGGCAGATGTTGGGAAGCATGGACCACCACGACGGATGCCTGTCTCCGGTTGAACTGCACTATTTATGTTAAATATTTGCGTCTTTTAAAATAGATGGATTGATTCACCTGCGTGGCAATTCAATAAAACAATGAATTCCAACTCGGATAACATAACATGGGTACTCTGGGCTGTGAAATCTCAGGTTCTATGCAATTTTGTTTTTGCAGCTTTTAGGTTTTGGAGTAATATAAATATTTAGCAGGAAGAGAAGTTAATGCTCTATCGTAAATTACCGTACTATTGATTTCCGCTGCAGCCAACATTTCCCTTTAATGTGCCATGGTGTGGGTAAGTTTTTCGGAGTAGAAACAATTCTACTACGTTGCAATTGGGAGAGAGTGTCTCCTCTAGTTACGATCGTTGGCAGGACAACTGAAACAAGTGTAATAAACTATTCTAATATATTTCCCGCGAGTGGAATGAACGGATGTAACTGAGCAACGCAGTAGCGTGTTATTAGATGCTTTTCTCGGTAGTGTGGGTTCACCCGCTTCAATTTTCTATGTGAAGACCGCAGATGTCAAAAGGCTAATATTATAAATCTATGGCTAAATAATCTTCTATTCAAACATAATAGACTCTGCCGCAGACGGCATCGGCCGCAGCGACACTCGTTTACTGATGAGGGCTAGCGTCTCTCACCAGGCTTTCCGATCAACCTCCGCCCTCACCTAACGCATATTGGGACTGGGCAGTTCATCGATTAACCTTCAGATTATTCAAGTGATGCTCTAATTGTGATTTTTTTTTTTTTTGCCATTTAATTGGAATTTCGTGCTGCAGAAAGTCAAGAAAAAGTGAAAAAGAAAGCCTGTTTTAATATTTCTCACATCTTCATTTCTTTTAGGACACAAGCTTGGATGGTAAACCACTTGAGCATGTTTGTGATTGTCATCGAGGGTGATTATAGTGTTTAAATAATAACTTAAAAGTTTCTTCACTTTAAAAGGCTTCCTGTGTTTATATTTCTGTAGGCGCCGCAGCGTGAAGTTTAAATGGGAATGAAATATGCCATTTATGACATAGTAAAAATAGTTAAAAAAGTATTTTAACGTTTTTCATGCAATATGACCGGTGAAAAATCATTTAACAGATGTATCAATTGATTAGTCTATTAGAGGGTAGCGATCAGTCGGATTAATTTTTTAATCAAAACACAGTTCCAATCAACATTCAATGTTTTATTAAAGCTATGGGTTGTGCGAGATTACAAAAATATGTGGGACCAGCAGTTGTATACAAACCACAACACTAAAATTATGGAAGCATTCGACTTAATAATAATCGCTTTGCTGAATTTCCACGCATGTGTAACGATACAACACAACCTTTAGTAGGAAGAAACAACACCAAAAACAACAAGCGTTTAATGAGGAGGGCTTAGCTCTGCCAGAAACGGGCTTGCGTTCTCGAGATCCATGCTTCTGGGCGTGCGCTCGTAGGAGACGACGCACGGCGGTATCCCCGCTTTCGCATGTTTCCAATTTCGGCCGCACGGTGGCGACACACAAAAATTAAGTATCTCGATAGTTTCATACAAAAACGATAGATTTATTAAAGGAGCTGTGCAACAATTTCAGTGCTTTACTTATTTGGGAGTTTTTGTCTCGACCTTTCTGAAGTAAAGAACAAAAAAACGCTTTTGCCTGCAAGTCTTAGTTTTTATTTTAAAAATTGACAAAGATTGAGGTTTTCGGCGCCCTCTCAACTCCTTTACCATCTTCCGATTCACGTCCGCTGTGACGTCAAGGGGGGTCGCGTGGGGTTCCCGTGAAGCTCTCTCTTTCTAGAGCCATAAGTGAGCAGCGAGAAGTCATCCGTTTGCAACCGCGTGACCACACGCTAGCAAGTCTCATCCGGGTCCGGCCATCCCCGTCCAGCTCCGCCCCCGTCCCCCTCCGGCTTCTGGCGGCTGTTCGCGGTAGCAGATAGATCTGACGGTTTTGTGGACGTGGGATAGATAACGCCACTAGAACTCCGTATAATAAAAATTTTGTTAATGATACCAGGTTTTTGACGCATTTATATTTATGTTGGAACGACAAGATTTATAGAAAAGTTACCTTTTATCAAGCAGGTTTCTCATGGCCGCCGCTCGCGGCTGCAGGTCGGGGAATATTCTAATTTTTGTCTTGCGATTACGCAGCGGTATCGCAACTTTTCGAAGCGAGGAGATGTGTTCTCTGCCCTCTGTGACAAGATAAGCAATGTCAAAATTAGAAGATGCCAATTCTTTCAACGTTAAAATCGTTGCACAGCTCCTTTAAAAAGAGGAGTAGAGAAAAACGCGTTCAAAGTGCTCGAACCTCTCTACCTTTACTTTAACATCGATGGACCGAAAATGATAATTTAAAAAAAAAAAGAATAACTATGCAGCGTAAACTATTGAAACGTTCTGAGGGTATTCTCTAGATGTTGTCAAATGTAAATATGGCATTTTTAAAAATAAAATTTCTTTGCAGAATTTTTTTTTCTTGGTAGCATTCCCCCTTAAACATCTAATAATCATTGTTTCCGCCCTTAGGCTCCATGCTAGCAGTTAGAAACTAAACCTCTTTCATTGTCTGGTCAATTCTCTTTCACCGATTGCAGGTTGCATCCAGCAGCTACCTGGAAAAACTGCGTCGTGTAGATTTCAATGTGTTTGATTCCCAGCTCCAAAAGCGGAACGGTCTACTTCCCTTGTCGTTATGGTGGCACAAATTAAAGCACTCGTTCTAGACTTTCTCTGTTTCTGCCGTTTGTTGCATTGTTTGTGCAGTTTCTTGCATTGCGCCTACGAGTCCAGGGATTCCCTGCTGTGTCTTCTTCAACAACCTGATGTTTGCACTGCACTCTTTACGCTTTTGCAACCGACTACGACCGACTCTGACACAACCAGTTTTTCAGCTGCTTACGACCTTCATCTCTGCTTTGCGGATCGTCGTAACCAGTCAAGTGGCTAAAAAGCTGGCTGTGTCAGGGCCGGTCACAAAAGTGTAAGCCAGCCCTTAGGTGCTTTTTCATTTCCCCAGTTTCACCTTGCTAGATGAACAGTGCACTGCTTGGGATTTGCAGATGTTGTGGCACATTGCGTCGGCGCATACATGGGAGGATTGGCGCATTAAAGAAACTCTGAAGCTAGGGAAAAAAGAAGCTCTTTTTTTTCCACCAGGCATGTCTTAAAATAAATGTTTGTCGAAAGGAAAAACATTTTGCCCAATATTTATGCTACAATACAAATGTTTTGATTTGCGGGCGAAATAGTATTTGTACGCCTGTAAGGTGGTGATAATATTGTTTGCTCCCAACTAGGACAGTGTTCTAGAAGGTGAGTAGCAGCAAAAGGGAGGCAAGCGCCAATGGGATGCCCTGTGCCGAAAAAAGCGGACGGCCGCATGTGGTGCTGCGGTCAACAACTGGAGTAGAAGACGGCTGGATCGGTTGCTTCCTCCCGCATTAGCGGCCATCGGGTGCCCTTGGCAGGCGCCCTTGCCCAAAAGATTGGATATGTGCTGATCACTCCAAAGCACTAACTGCTGAAGTGGTGGGATTTTATGTTACCACTAGACTACATTTCTTTCTTAAGTCACGCAATCGTGTCAGAGTATGGAAGCGTAAAGCGGCCAACTATCTGAAGCTTAGTCGATCCACAAAGCTTTTTCCCCCAGTTTTGTCATCAGAAGGAAAAAAATTGGGTTGTCTTTCTTTCACTTTGACTACTGTCAGCGATTTCTACTTGTAATTGCGCTATCCCCTTCTGCGCTGTGTAACTAATTGTATAATTTCCCTAAATGCTTTCATGTGATTTTCTTTATTGTGTTTATTTTTTTTAATTATCATTGTGGTCGCCCGACAATGTTCTTTTTTTTTCTTTTTCTCGCTCCAGTTTTAGGGTTTATAAAGTCGGATCCAGCTCCGAATCTGTGTTTTCAGCCTATTTCTTTCTTTTTCTTTGTCATGGTGCATGCGAGGTAGAGCTCCCTAGCTCAATATCATCTTCCTGTACAATTGAGCCCTTTTCTTGAGCCGTTGGAAAGGGAAATTCGGGGAACCTTTCCCCTCCTTTATCTGGCCATGTTCTTAGTAGCATTCATTTCTAAGTTTAAATAAGTGTTACTTGTAGTCAAAGTGGCAAAAATAAGTATTTAGAAAAATGTAATAAATCAGATTGGTTTAAAACTTATTTATTTAATTCTAACATGCTCTAAATTACTTAAGCTAGAAATGAGTGTCTCTTTTTATCACTAGATGTCTGTGTGTTTTAATGACTGATGTAAATCCTTCCTGCTTGATCATTATCTTCAAATACAAAATAAATGTCCATGGGCAGCAAACACTTATAGACAAGTGATAAATAGAAAAGGTTTTCACTAATATGTTCGGGTAAAAGTGTTTGATTTAAATTATTAGAGCCAAATTGATGCGACTTATATCATAGCCACATCGCTGCTATTTAAATAAATTTAAATTATGATTTAAATCATAGCAAAATCGGTGCTATTTAGATGATATAAATCACGATTTAAATTTTCATTTTTATTCTCCAGCTTGTCGTACAATTATGTCATAGCATGTACTGGAATTCGTTGTTGCTTTTCTCTCTGTGGCAAAACAAGGAAGTATTTGGATGGGGAGTTACGACTACAGATCTGTAGAATACCAAGAATTTATAAACAGGCGTTCAGCAACTTCCCCATAGTATATGAACAGTATAAGCAGCTAAGGAAACCAGGCATAGCTTGAATTCCCGTCTCCAGCTTGCAAGCCAGTCCGCCAGTAAAGAATATAACACCAAAATAATTTGGTGGATCAGTAGGTTTTATTTATCGGGCAGAAGTAAACTGAGGAGAAATAGCATCCGTGTCTTTGTCGCCTCAATAATTACTACACATCGCCGAACCCTCAAGCTACGTCGGAATGCATCGGAACGTAAAGCTAGTCGTTGGGATCCCATTAGGATTGCAGCCAACAGCGTTTGAATGCATGGGCGTGAATAGCGTTTGCTGCTAGGAATTGACCATTTTTCCATTGAAACTTTCCGGACATTATTTGTAGCTCACATAACGCTTAGTTCTGAAACTTGGCTTCTGATCCGAACCGCTAGACGTATACATTCGACATGTAGTGTTTCAAGCCTGCCATCCATGTCGTGTTGAGCACCAAGAAACATTACGTCGCCACCGCATGACATCTTCCAAAAATCTGAAACACTCGCTCAGTGTGACGAACGTAGAATTAATCAAGGTGTGCTCTCATAAATACATCAAGACATAGGACCGCGAGCAAGTAGCCGGCCGACGCCCCATCTTGCTAGCGCTACTGCTCGGCGAAGCTATGCCAGTGCCACACAGCGGCATCCGCTTCGAAGGCCTCACGGAGTGCGCGCCGCATTTGCCACTGCACCCCTTCTAGAACACTAAAACCAGTGCGCACTCCGAGTTGGCTGGACCCCAGAGCGCACTCTGCAGGGTGTCTCAAACAGCGGTCAGGCTCTTTAAATCGAACGCAAAAATCTGTTTCTTAACCTACCGCACTGTGATTTTGTGCAGCGTTGCCCACAGGTGGTGCATTTTTTTGGTAAAATTTGCAAAGAGGCAACTTACATGAGGAAAAAGGAAAAAAAAAATGCTTAACTCCTATGGAAACTCAGTGAAGCCACCGATCTTCAAACAATAGGGCGCCGTTAGGCACGGGGAAGAGATTGCGCAAGCGCTTGCGACGCCAGCTGCTGTCAACGAACAAGCATACGCCGCCGAGAGCCGGCATCATTAGGAGACAATCTTTTCGACTCAAAAGTGGCGCGCGTTCCGCAGGTGACGAGACTCGGGAAGAACAAAAAACAGGCGCGATAACGACAAGGGACTGCAAAGCAGACGACATAAGTAGCCCGAAAAAAACAATCAAAATAACCCTGCAAAACATTTTTTTATCGATTATGTGTCCATTCAATGTGCTTTATTAGTAAAGATGGTAAAATCATGCATTGGCAACTGACATCGAAAAAGCTCGTGCCGCTTTTGAGTAGAAAAGATTGTCTGCTATTTGACGCCGACTCGGCGTGTGGCGGCAGTTGGCGACGCGGCCCCTGGCGCCATCTCTTGTCTCCCGTACCAAACGGCACCCTATTGTTTGAGGACCGGTGGCTTCGCTGCGTTTTCATAGGTGTTAAGCCATTTTCTTTGTTTACTTTTTCTCCAGGTAAGTTTGCACTTTGTGAATTTTATATAAAAAATGCACCACTGTGGACAACCCTGCAGAAAATCGTTGCGCGATAGGTTAAGGCCACGGTCCCACTGAATGTGGCATTTTAGGTACTTTTTGGCAGGTCATAACTCATCTCCTCTTAAATACTGTTTTGTGGGATTGATATATTTCGAAAGGCAATGCAATCCTCTTTCATTTGATATTATGTATGCGTTGGTTTTTACTGTTCATGCGCATTTGTAGTGTTGCGAATATGATGGCGCGGACCCTCACTTGCTCCGCTAGTTCATGTTTTATGAACGATCCATTAAAGATAGCACGGTTCCAATATAGCAGTTTTGTTAAGATGATGTCGGAGCGGAATGTAACGATACACTTTTTTGGTATTTGCACTACTTTGTTTTTTTCATCCCTCCAAATATTGCCCTAAAATTGACATTTTTCAGCACAAATGTTTTTAATGACAAGCGCTAGGGCAATGAAATTTGCCACAGATGTAGTGCTTATAATTGGTAATATGCAGAAAAAAAATTTAATGTTGTGTAAAATTTCTTGTTTAGATATTTTATATCAAACGTAGCACTTTTTTATGCTTCGAGTCATGTTACTTCAAATGCCGCTGAGGAAATAATTAAACTATGCTAAAATCTTTTATAACATTTATAGCTACAATGGTTGCCCAAGAAGTGGACGATGGCTTTTTTTCATTTTCAAAGTCGTAATGCTCCAGGAGCCCTTCAAGCTTACCTGTTTTTGACGCATACCTTTTTTGGACATCAAACAGATTTATTGGCATCTAATAACATTTATTGTTTGGAATAGATATACATTGCGATGTATTAAATTTTCACAATGATCTGGCTGTGGTTTCTTAATAGGTGTAGAGCTTAGCTAATTATAAAAACAATTAAAAACTGTTTGGGTGTTTTGTTGCGCTACCTGGCGGATGGCAGACAAACTGCTGATTTCTAGTGTTCAACAAATTTGCGACGGCGGCGGACGACGAAGTGCTTTGAGCAACGAACACAAAATTTTGCTCTCTCGGTATCTTTTACGTTTGAAACCTATGCACTCGCATCCTGACCTGGCAGTTTTGTCTCGGCAAGTGGAAGTGGGCTTGTCTCTTACTACCAAACGCCTCTGCATGTAAGGAACCATGTCTTCATCTGAGAAAGTAGCAAACATCGGTGACCATTCATCTTCTGATATCACTCCTGGGCAACGCCCAACGGTAAACTCTATAGAAGACAGCCCTGCTGCCGCTCCAAACGCCTCACCCGAATTTTCTAACTTAGAGCATTCCTGCATGGAGCAGGACAACGACTCTGGAGGACAATGGTACATCTCTGGAAATCGGAAACGTGTTCGAAGTGATGACTCACTCTCCGATTCTGGCACAACACGTGTGCCAAACAACGCCTCCAACAGTCTCACCGTCGTATATGCCCCGACTGACTCAGAGAAGAAATTTACTTCCCTTAGCAGTCTCAAGGTCACACAGGCTCTCGAGAAGATAAGTCCAGAATGCATTCTTCAAGT